CCCCAAAACCCCAAAACCCCAAAACCCCAAAACCCCTGGGGTCAAATTTAAATTTGAAATAAATTTGAATTAAAATGGACTTGTCTACAGAAAACATAGAAAATTACTCATATCAGGAGGAAAGCGATCAACAATATAGAGAAAATTCCAATGCTGGCCATAGAGATTCCTTATACTTTGTACCTTCGTCGAAGCATACTATTTCTGCTGATCCAAGACTATCTGCCTCTTCAAGCTATAATCTTGGTAGTACTTGTTATCGTTGTTCTAAGTCAAGGTGTATTTGTCCAGGGAATTTGGATGATTATCGTAAAAATAAGGAGGAAAGGCTCAGAGATATCACTAAGCAAGCTCAAAATGTCTCAAAAATATTTGAACAACAGCAAAAATTCATGATAGAGCCATACCAAAATGTGAAAACCAGAGAAAATCAGAAGGAACATGTTCATTATCAGCCTGTGAAAGTTCTTCAGGTATTTTTGCACCTTATTCTCTAGAAATTCCAGCAGGAGACTCAGAGCGAAGAGTTTGAAGAGAGTCAATCAAGTATTGAGGAGTCTACATTCCGCATCTCTGATAGCTACCGAGACCAATCGGAGAGTTTAAATGATGCCTTTGAGAGTGTCAAGAAGACCAAGAGTACGGTTCTCTTTAGACCTGGTTTCACATACATTTTAGAGTCAAAAAGCTGCTCAAGAAATTACAGCACAAATGTTAGAGTAACAACTAACCAGAGTACTCACAGTAGTGCATCCAGAGAGTCTGAGAGCAGATTGAGGCAAAGAGTACTGAGGAGCACAAGTAATTTTGAGTCTTTCTCATGAGTTACTTTTCAATCTAGATTTTTCTTACACATCCAAAATGTTCTTACCTATGAGAGTTTTTCAAATTTTAGTGGCTAGAGTTGACCAGCTTATAAATTTACTTAGCTGTAGAGAGAATCAAGCTGTTGGTTTTGAAAGTACTTTTATCGATGCTTCAAAGAGTTTATGCTTTGGTGTTTAAAAGGACAGTAGATCAAAGTTAATTCCTCATTTAATGGAGTTTTGTAGAAATTAAACTGGCTAAATCATCATTAACAACTCTGTCTGTATTAGAATTTGATATATTATATTAATTTTGCTACAGATAGGAGCTCTTCATATAACAGTCTATCAAGGTACAAAGTAGGAAGCAATTATGAAAAATATAATACTAATCATTCATTCAATTATGTATCTAAATATCCTCTCAATAAGATACTTCTCACGAATCCTCCAGCAACTCAAGACCAACCTCATGGGTCAAAAACGATTTCCACAACCGTAAATCAAGTCAGAAATCCCTATAAGCCACTCCTAAACCTAAAAATCCCCGATTTTGAAAACCAATCAAAATTGGCCTATTTTCCAAAATATCCTGCTCAAAAACCCACTATCCAGCCTTGCTGATGAGACAAAATTCAGAAAACTCTAGATTCTTTGCCCACTGAGATCTTGACTTCGGTCAAGACTCTGCTGCAAAATATTGATCTAAGTCAAAAATCTGGAGGTGATTCTAGCTATCAGTCCAAAAGAACTGCTCCTACTACTCAGGGCACTGGTAAGAGGTCAAGTGTCATGGGCAGTAGGTCTAGTTGTCCAAATTTGGCTGAGTCTAGATACAAATCCAGCTACTTTTCTTCGTATATTCCTGCATCTAAGCAGGCTGAAGCTGTCCAGAATAGGTCAAGTGCTGGAAATTTTTCAGAGAATTACTATAAGTCCTCTTCTTGAGTTATTAAGAAAGAGAATGCTAACCCTAATTTTCATAACGATGTCAGTGAAAGCAGTATCGAGCTCGAGACTCGAAATTTTAAAATTTCTGATGTGAAAAGACCAAGGAAGACAACTGTGGTTCGTGAAGAAATTAAACAGCTTGTAGCTCCAAAGACCCACAAGATGAGTTATGATAGCTCCTTAGCTAGAGAAAACCAATCTGATGTATCATCAATGCTTGATCCAGAGGAGACAGTTGCAAAGAAGTTGGAATGGGGCCTTGAAGTAATGCTTCTTAGCTATAAACAACTTGAAAAAATGCTCAATATGGGAACGAAGGAGTGCTCAGGTGTGAGTAAAAGCTACTCTCTTGCCCTAAACATGGATTTTAGAACAGATTATAGAATTTTCTCTGATTTTGGATATAAAAAGTTACCTAACATCAAAACAATTGAGCTACGTTCAGTGAATAGACTAGGGGATAGACTAAACAGATTCTTTGAATTCAATGCTCCTGATATATGTAAAAACCTCTGCATCAATCCATTGGCTGACAGTACCAACAAGTTGGCATTTTCTACAATAAAAGGAGCAGTGCTAGGCTATTTTACCAAAAATTTGCCTAAAATCACTAACAGAGCTTTTTCGAGAGTGCTCTTTGACAACTTTTACTTTGATTATGGAGAATTTAGCGAGCTTCTTAACTCTGTAGCAACTCTTAAGAAAGATGGAGAAATAAAAACAGAGTACTTATTGTGCAGAAATTGTGAAATCAAGCCTGTTTCATCTGGCAGCAGTAAATACCTTGGGCTATCCCATAAATGCAACTTGAAAAGACTAAACTTAGAAGGCAGCACTGGAAGCTTTGAGATGACGCAAGCAATTCAGGCAGAAATCAACTCCATTTGTCCAAAAATTAATGTAATTCTCTAACTCTCCGTCGAGCTTTGACTTAAACCAAAATCCGCTTATTTTCCCTAAAACTCTAAATTCCCTTAAAATCCTTGCTGAAAATCCTTATCCGAATCAGGCTAGAACAGATCAGATTTATAGTTTCAAATTAAGAATTGCACTGGGGTTTTGGGGTTTTGGGGTTTTGGGGTTTTGGGGTTTTGGGG